GTATGCTTTATATTCTAGACACAACTCTCTTGTTAGATATAAGATTTGCAAAAATTTTCTCCCATTCTGTCGGTTGTCTTCACCTTCTTCATGGTGTCCTTTGAAGCACAAAGGTTTTAAATCGACGAAGTTCAATCTATCTATTTGTAGTTGTTGTTCTTCATGGTTTTGGTGTCATGTTTATGAATCCATTGCCAAACACAAGGTCATGGAGATTTATCCCAATGTTTTATTCTAAGAGTTTTATAATTTTGCTCTTACATTTAGGTCTTTGATCTGTTTTGAGTAAATTTTTATATAAGGTGTGAGGTAGGAGTTCAAATTCCTTCTTCTGCATGTGCCTATCCAGTTCTTCCAAGATCATTTATAGAAAAGACTATGCTTTTTTTCACCTAATGGTCTTGATACTCAACAAAAATCAGTTAACCATAGACACATGGGTTTACTTCTGAACTCTCAATAGAAACTTCATAATTCTATTCCATTGATTTATATATTTATCCTTAGGCTTCACTTACTTGATTGAAGTTTCTTGGTAGTAAGTTTTGAAATTCAGAAGTTTGAGACCTCAAACTTTATTCTTTTTTGTCAAGATTGTTTCAGCTACTCTGTATTCCTTGAAATTTCATCTGAATCTTAGAGTCAGTTTGTCAATTTCTGCAGAAAATCCAGGGATGATTCTGAATAGGGATTCTGTTGAATCTCTAGGTCAATTTGAAAAGTATTGTGATCTTATCAATACTAAACCTTTAGATCCATGAACAGATGTTTTTCCATTTATTTATCTTCGTTAATTTTTTCAACAATGTTTTGTAGTTTTCACAATATAATTTTTAGCATTCATTTTGTTAAATTTATTTCTAAATATTTTATTTATTTTGATGCTATTATAAATAAAATTGGCTTTTTAATATTATTTCAGATGGCTCACAATTTATCTTTACATATTGACCTTTATCCTGAAGCCCTGCTATAATTGTTTATTAATTCTAATAGCTTCTAAATTCCTTAGGATGTTCTGTATATAAAATCATGTCATCTGCAAATAGAGATCGTTTTACTTCTTCCTTTTCAATCTGAATGTCTTTTACTTGTTTTCTTTGCCCAATTGACCTGGCTAGAACTCCCAGTATCATGTCAAATACAAGGGCAAAAGCAGACATCTTGGTGGGTTTTTTTCCTGCTCTTAGTGGGATGGCAACCAGTCTTTCACCACTAAATATGACACTAGCTATGGGTTTTTGTTGGTGCCTTTTATCAGATTGAGGGAGTTCTATCCTTTTTCTTGTCTTTGAGTGTTCTTATCAGGAAAGGGAGTTGGATTTTGTTAAATGCCTTTTCTGCATCTATTGAAATTATCATATCGTTTTTGTTCTTTGTTCTATTGATATGGTGTAGTATATTAACAATTGATTTTTAAATGACAAACCACTTGCATTCCTGTGATAAACTCCACTTGATCATGTTATGTAATTCTTTTTAAATGTTGCTAGGTGTAGTTGGCTAGTATTTTGTTGAGGAGTATTCCATATATATTCATAAAATATATTGGTCTACAATTATTTTGTAATGCTTGTGTCTGGTTTTTGTATTAGTGTGATATTGGTTTTACAGAATAAGTTGAAAAGCGGTCCCCCCTAATATATTTTAAAAGATTTTCTTTTTAAATGGTATTAATTTTTCTTTAAATGTTTGGTAGAATTCACCAGTGAAAACATCTGGGCATGAGCTTTTCTTTCTGTATAGTTTTGTTTGTTTGTTTTGCTTTATTTTGCTTTTACATATTCAATCTCTTACTTATTCCATGTCTATGGAGATTGCTTTATTAAGTGTGTTTTATAATAATAGCTTGTGTCTTTCTAGGTATTTGTCCATTTCATCTAAGTTATCTAACTTATTGGCATACAAATATTCATAATATTCCTTCATAATTCTTTATTTTTCTGTAAGAGAAGTGGTAATATCTTCTCTTTCATTTATTTTCTTTTTCTTTCCTTTTCTTTCTTTCTTTTTTTTTTTTTTTTTTTTTCTGAAACAGGGTCTCACTCTTTCACAGAGATGGGAGTGCAGTGGTGTGATCATGGTTCACTGCAGCCTCGACCTCCCAGGCTCAATCAATCAATCCTCCCACCTCAACCTCCTAAGTAGCTCAGACCACAGATGTGCATACCATGCCTGGTTAATTTTTTTATTTTTTGTAGAGACGGGATCTCCCTATGTTACCCAGCTTCATCTTGAACTCCTGAGCTCAAGTGATCCTCACACCTCAGCCTTCCAAAATTCTGAAATTACAGGCATAAGTCACTGTGCTGGCCCTTCTTTCATTTCTAATTCTTGTAATTTGAGTCTTCTTTTTCCCTTGTCAATCTGATTAAAGGTTTCTCTGTTTTAACTTTTCAAAGAACTAGCTTTTGTTTTCCTTGATTTTCTCTATTTTTTTAAAATTCTCTATTTCATTAAGTTCCACTCTGATCTTTATTATTTTTTTCCTTTTATTAATACTTGCTTTAAGTTTAGCTTACTTTCCTTTTTCCATTGTCTTATAGTGGAAAGTTACATTATTCATTTGAGATCTTGTTTATAAAATATGAATATTTATAGCTATAAATTTTCCTCTCAGCACTGCTTAAGCAGCATTGCACAAGTTTTCATATGTTGTGTCTTGATTTTTATTTGTCTTGAAGTATTTTCCAATTTCTCTTGGGATATATCTTTGACCCACTGATTATTTAGGAGTGCGTTGTTCGATTTTCACATATTTGTGAGTTTCCCAAATTAATTTATGCTATTTATTTCTAACATCATTCCATTGTGACTGGAGAATATACTTTAGATTACTTCTATACTTTTAAATTTATTGAGATTTGTTTTACAGTCTAGTATTCGGTTTGTTTTTGAGAATGTTCTATGTGTACTTGAGAAGAATGCATATTCTTTTTTTATTTGGGTGGAATTTTCTATAGATGGCTGTTACATCAAGTTTGTTTATAATGTTGAAGTATTTTGTTTTCTAGTTATCTTCTGCCTAGCCATTCTATTCATTATTTAAGTCTCCAACTATGATTGTTGAATTGTATATTTCTCCCTTCATTTCTGTGAGTATTGCTTCATATATTCTGGTTATCTGATGTTAGGTGTACATATGCTTATAATTGTTATATCTTTCTGATAGATTGACTATTTTTGAGGACTTTGGCCTATGAGGGTATAGCAAAATTTATAGTATTATCCTGTCTGCAGTGGTCTTATTCAACTTTTTCATTATTTAGTTCCTTAAGAGGAAGTAAACATCTATTTTCATTCAAACATGCAATCTCCTTTGAAACTGAAGTCATTATAAGGAATAAATTGGCATTTTGTTCCACAAAGAAAACTAAAAAATAAGACAACGCTTTGATCTTGAATATAGAAAGCAATAAAGTCAATTATTTTGGTATACTGATTATGATCGTTTTAGTAATAAATGAGTCTGGTTTTTCTGTGCAAATCTGTGATACATTAATATCTTATTAAATGGTAAAGTCAACTGAAAATGCTAGTTAACAATCATAACATTAGGAAAAAATAGAAGCAGAAAATCTCTGCTGATGTGCTACCATTAAATGAAGTTTATATCTTAAAAAAAAACACACACACACACATATGGTTGATCAGAACTATCTCTTACATCAAGAAACAAAGTAAATACTTGATAATATGCTCAACCCAATTATCCAGTTTTTCTAACTCCTGCACATATTTCAATAATGAATGTCACATTTATAAATCATTTTGGAAAGTACATATTCTGAGTAATGAGAAGTTGATAGTTAAAGGTTATCTCCACATATTGTCTATTGTAAATAGTACTTCAATGAACACAGGAAGACTTTTATGTCTTTGAGATTCTGATTTCAATTCTTTTAGGTAAATACTCAGAAGTGGTATTACTAGATCATATGGTAGTTCTATTTTTAATTTTTTTAGGAACTTCCATACTGTTTACTCTAGTGGCTGCCCCATTTTTCATTCTCACCAACAATAAACAAGGGCCCCAATTTCTCCACATTCTTGGCAACACTTGTTGTCTTTTCTGGATAGCAATAAATTTGACAGCAGAAAATTACTTTTCTTAGTGTATTAGTCTGCATTCTCCAGAGAAACAAAACCAATATGATGTGTGCATGTGTGTATGTGTTTATCAGAGAGAAAGAAAGAGAGAGAGAGAAATTTACTCTAATAAATTGGTTCACAGTTATGGAGGCTGAGAAGTTCCAAGGTCTGTAGTTGGAAAGCTGGAGGTTCAGGAGACTCGATTATATAGTTCCAGTCTGACTCTACAGGACTGAGGATGAGGTGGACTGATGGCATAATTTCAGTTTGTGTCTGAGTCTGAAAACAGGAAAGACCAACGTCCCAGCTCAAACACAGAGCGTAAGTCTCCCTTACACTGCCTTTATTTGGGCCTTCAACAGATTGGATGAGGCCCACCACACTGGGGAGGACAATCTGCTTTACTCAGTCTTCTGGTTCAAATGTTAACCTCATTCCAAAATGCCCTCATAGACACACTCAGAATAAACACAGTCTATGGCTCAGTCAAGTTGACACATACAATTAACCACTATACTAGGTGTCTTAGTGGAACGGAATGCAGAATGCACTAAGTAGCCCCAATGATAACCCAAGAACTTTTATTTTCCAGAAACAGAGAACAAAATCCCCCATTTTAAGTTTATACAATTAAAGTGATACTAGAAATAAAAGATTGATAGCTCCTGGGCCCTCAGAAGGGAACAAAGTGTCCAGTTCATATATGAATTTTCAATAACATTCAAATTTTTCCAAGTTCTTAAGATCGGCATTAAATACAAAAGTGACAGTGTCTGTATGTATTTAGTTCTCTGGTAGGAACAAAAACCATAATACTAACATTCACTTTGGTACAAAATTAATTTTTCCAATTATTAATTCTTTATTATATAAGTTTATAATTATAATACTGTAACAGACCTGTTGTTCAAGGTTTAGAATAAGCAAAATCTCAAAAACAATGACAGCACCATATATTATTTTATATTTGTTGTGTGTGGCTTCAAATGGCTTTTCCTAGTTTCCTTTACTTGATGAAATTATCATTTCCTTGAATCATTTATGGCTTTTTATCTGTTATAGAATTTCAAACTCAGTACATTCATAAGATCCTTAGAATTTCAGGCCCAGTACATGCTTAAGAAACTTTAGTTTAGCTATCTCCAGGAAGTCTTTCTAAATTGTGACCAAAAATACATTCCTAATATCTGAGATCATGAGTTTTTCTCAATATGATTAGAAGGCAGTCAAAATAAAGTCTAAACAAGATAATTTTTAGACATCTTTTGAGATCAGCATATAGATGTTATTCCTCATTTCTTTGTAAAATTGAATACTACCCCAATATGCAGATGTACTATAATTTAGCAAGCTCCATGTTGATATACATATGGATTCCTTCTCCATTTTTTTTCCTATTTGTTGATAAATTCAAGTTGTTTGTCCTGTGGAATTCCCTAGGATCTAAATTTTGATGATGTCATCTCTAACTTCTTGTTTAGCATTTTCCCTTATTCTTTATGTTTCTTGAGTTAGTAGATAGATTTTTTTTTTCCCAAACCATACTGAAAACGTTGGAAGTAGCTATATTTTAAAGGTCTGATCAAATTTCAGCTTGATTTCTGAAAGGATTATTCTTAGTTAATGTTTCATACTTCAACTAGGTGGTATATAATTGTCTGGTTGACTCTTTTTTGTGATTTTAGCAACTATTGAGGATCAATGCCTCTATCCATTAATTAGAAGTTACAAAATTGTTCTATTCTAATTACATCATACTTTCCCCATTTATTGGCTTGAATAAAAAGAAATTTACTCTCTTTCACTATTTGGTTATGCTCAGGTATAGATTATGTAGGAAATGCAGAATAAATGATTGATTATCAGTTTTCAGAGTAATGAGTTATTCAAAAGAGGACAATGAAAAATTTTGGGGTTTTTTTAGTATCATTTTGACTTCATGGATTTAAATATATCTGATGTATTTCAACCCGTTGCAGTTAGTATTTCTTCAGTGATTTTCAAATTTCACATGTTTGACAGTGGGAGGCTGTTTAAGTTGACTCAAGGGTGCTTTTGATACAATCCTAGTAATCCTTGATAGCTTCTTTGGTTTATGTTATAACAAGAGATTCCAGACTCATCTTGAGCAATTTCTGTCTTAGATAGGCCTGGAATCAGACATTTTCCTAAGAGGCTCTGGTTTCTTTATGAATAAATAAAATTTAGACACTTAGAGTATGTCAGATGGGTGCATTGCTACTAGACAAGTTAATTTAACAGTTTTTCTTCCACAGGGTCAAAAAAAGCACTGACTGCCTGATACCAGAATCACTATACTTGTGAATTATATTTCTCTGTAAATTGGTTTTTAAAAAGTACAAATAAGTCTTCTATAGTTTCTGCTGAGATCTGATGGAAAGAATACTAGTTGAGGTTTCAAAAGTAAAGGTTTAAATCCTGGGAACTTCTGTGTGATATTAAGTAAGTCATTTCACTATTCTGAGTCATACATAATTTCTTGTACTTCAAAATAGAAATATTACCTATCACAGCTTTAATGAGAACCATTATTGAAAGTACTTCATAATAACAGCTAACATTTCCTAGAATGTTTTATGTGCCAGCCTTTGTGCTATGTTACCTAGTTTATATCATTAAATCTGTATAAAAGGACAAAAATTTTTTTTAATTATTATTATTAATTATCTCCCTCTTATAAAGGAGAGCACCAAAGATTAGAGTGACTGGTATCTTGCTGTTTCTATAAAGGAAATTTACAATGATCCCAAGAAGCCGAGGTCATCAAGCAGAGTAGGAGGTAGATTTCCTATCCAGGAGCAGTGAGCCAAATTAAATACACAGGTAATCTACAGCTGCAAAATGTGAGAAATGATTGAACGTAACCAGTAGTAGCAGACCAAATTAAGAAAAATGCTTAAATGCATTAAATTTATGCTTAAAATTAGAACACGTATATTTGGATTCAATTACAAGAAGAGGAAGACAAAGTTATGATAGAAAGAAAACTCAGCAACTGGGATTACAAACTGGGCTCTTTTACAAACTCGCCATTTGAATTTGTCAAGAGATTTATTCTCTTCAGGTCTCAATTCTTCACAGGGGAATGAGGATATATGATTGTACAAGCTAATCTGTTAGGATAAAAATAGAACAGTAATGCTTGAGGAGAACTTTATAATAACTCACTATTGATGTGCAGAGTTAAAAAAAATTACAACATATTTATAGGTTCTACCAATTCAGGTTTCTGAATCACTCATTAATTCCTTCATTTAACGATACTTGTTGAAAACCTACTGAGGTCTGAGCAGAGACTCAGAGTTGAAAAGAACGCACCTGGATTTCAAATGTTTCACAGAAAAACAGAGGTGAAGAAGGAGGTTGAATCAACTATAATTCCTTCTACAGCAGCGTCATGTTTATTTTGAGTTTACCTTTCAAGTAGATTGTCTCCAGAAGAAGGAAGTCCTATCAATTAAACATGACTCTCAAGAGAACAACATAATGTGTATAAGTGATTTTAAACAGAACATAGCATCAAGAAGTGAAAATTGCCCAAGACTCCGTTTTATCCTGCACTTTTCTGTTACTTTGGTAGTCAAGAGTTGGTTGAGGCTGGGTGCAGTGGCTCACACCTACAATCCCAGAACTTTGGGAGGCTGAGCAAGAGGATCTCTTGAGCCTAGAAGTCCGAGACCGGCCTGAATAACAAAACAAGACCACATCACTACAAAAAAATAAAATAAAATAAAGTCAGTTGAGGATCAACAGCAGAGTCCAAGTATGCAAGGGGTATGTTATTCCATTTACTCCTCAGAATAATTAATCGAGGTAGGAGTTATAGTACTGATTTTCAGATAACAAAACAGTGACTGTAGGTAACTTTCCCAATGTCACACAATCAGATACGTAGTGAAACCATGATTCAAATTAGATGCAAAATGACTCTAAATTCCCTATTCAAAAGTCATATATGGGAAGGGGAAAGCAAAAATATCTAATATTTCGCATAGACCTCTTTTTCAATAGCACTTCTGGGCCCCTTAAATGTCACTCTTTCTACATAATGATTTTTGCTTGCAAAAGTCACCAACTGCATTTTTACTAATATGGCTCCAGCTTCCAGATCTACAGCAGTGTCAGCGTAGGTCAACATGAATATTATCCCAAAGCCTTCACAGTATTCAGACTGCCAGGGTCTGTGAAGGAAGGACGCAAAGTGCCATCTTAGAATTGGTGCTTGGTAGGTTGGGAATGACTCCCCCTTACCTCAGTCTCTGGCCCCTCATGAGAAGCCATGCCAGGAATGGTTCTGCACTCAATGAGTCCAGGTGGGAAATAGAAACCTAGTGTGAACCCGAGGCTAGAATAGAAACTGCAGTTAGTCCTCTTCAATGGACCAGTTGACCAGGTGACCCCTTCTGTTAAATCAGATGATTACTTAGTAATGTGTCCTTAAATAAATTGCCAACTTGAAAAAAAAAGTCTTTGAAATGAATAATTTAAAATTTTATGTATAATTTTATGTATGTACATTCATGTAAAGACTAAATTATACTAGTTTTAGTTTAAATGCAACTTAAATATTCCAATAAAGAGGAAGTGTACATTGACTTTACTCTAGATCTGATTTCCTAGCCAGATTGGAGGCAAATAAAATAATATCTTTCTGTTTATGTTAAGTGACATACATATGTCTACTTATAATACCTCTCAGTAGAATTCATAAGAGAAAAAAATTGTCATAAGTTACATCCTTCTTTAAATGACTACGCTAGAGACCACACAATTCCCTTTAAACTCAATTATCTCACAAATGAATGCTTCGATAACTTGCTAAAAGCAGTAGACAAAGTGTTATTAGTGAACCAGGAAAAGGGGAAACCCCAGAACAGCCATCAGCCGTCTTTACTTCTCTGCAATCAGCTCCTTCATATCCCTGATAACAATGACAGGAAAATGTATCTGCCATCACTGCCAGGTCTGTATCAGATGCTCTTCCTTTCACAGTAAATTCTCCATCCTCAGAGGCCTCTATGTGGTAACTTGCGGGGTTCAAGTGAAGGTAAGTGGGTGAGTTCCACATCTTCCTTATGCACCTCCCATTGTTCCTGCAGAGGTGAAAGCTGCATACCTCAGCAGCTCTGGTCACATTGGCTAGGTAGCTCCCTAAATCAGAACTCACAAACTGCTTCACCTTTGTACAGTTGGCCTAGAAATGTGGAAAGAAATTGATTTTAGTGTTTCTCCCTGATAGAAATGTAGAAAGAAATCGATTTTAGTGTTTCGCGCTGGTACTGATAGAATTAGAGCTTCTAGAACAGTTCTTTGGTCTTGATTAAAACATAATGGCTTGGTTCCAGTTGTTGAACTTGTAGGCTCCTGGCACTACAACAAGGATCCCAAATCAGAAAGGGGAGAGGTCTGAGGGGCGGGAGATGGATACTATGTTACAGTCAGGTTAAGCAACTGAACTTGCAAATGGCCCCCAGAATCAGCACATGGGACCTTGCCTTTCTCCAATTTACATTCTTTTTTTCTTCCTTCTAGCTCCCAAGTTAATGAGTATAAAAGGAAAAGGAACAAACCCAAATTAGGAATGTACCAGAACTGCTGCCCTCAGGCTACCATTCAGGTATGTGGGGCCTTCCGTGGTTGTGTTACAGCCTGAATCACAGTCCATCATTTATTGTCAAATCATCTTATTCCACCATTCTACCGAGTATTATAGCCTTCTGGACTTTCCTGTTAATTTCCATCAACTGTCCTGGGTTCTGTACTTCTAACACAATTCAAACACAGAAAAGTCTATATGGCTGACTAGGTAACATTTGTGTATATGGTTCCTATTACCTGTTCTAAACAGAGGCCACCTGTGTGCACCCACCTTCCTGATGAAGCTCTTCTGATGAGCCACCAAGGGGCTGGGGTGGAAATATCACACCTGGAAAGTCAGGAATTAATCCTCTGAGTTTCTTCCTAATTCTCATATGTGGGCATAGGCATAAACAGTTTCATGAACATTATCTCAGTAGCAACAAATTGAGACTGTGAAATTCTAAGAATAATATCAGATCATCATGGACTTGCAAAAACTTCAATTTAGCAAAAAGTGTCAAGGGTACCAGTATTCAAGGTAAAATGCATTACACTATAGAAATATAAACAAACTACATCTGGAAATATGGAAGAGATTGTAATTAATGGGGATTGGGGAAAACTAAGAGTCTTTCCTGAAGTAAAAAAAATATCTCAGCTGAGAAATTTGAAGAACCATAGAAATCTTTTTATTTTTCTTTTTTTTTTTTGAAATGGAGTCTCACTCTTTCATCCAGGCTCAAGTGCGATGGCATCATCTTGGCTCACTGCAACCTCTGCCTCCCGGCTTCAAGCCATTCTCTTGCCTCAGCCTCCCAAGCAGCTGGGATTACAGGCATATGTCATCACACTCGCCTAATATTTATATTTCTAGTAGAGATTGGCTTTCTCCATGTCAGTCAGGCTGGTCTCGAACTCCTGGCCTGAAGTGATCCCACCTCCCAAAGTGCAGGAATTACAGGTCTGAGACACCGTGCCCAGCCATAAATCTTATTTTAAATGCTGTTAATTTTTAGCTGATTTCTCTGTAGAGAAAAAATAACTTTATTGTGGAGAATTAAAAAGTTACCACCTGTTTCTACCTCTCAAAATAGTATATAACACATTTTCTATAGTCGTTAAAATGCAAGGTGTCCATCATCAAACTGTGACTAATGCCAACTCTACCACTAACTATCCTAAATAGCTGTTAACCTAGTTGGTTTCCTCTCTAGTTTCACCATCTGTAAATGAGGACGATGGTCACTACCTCATATGACCAGGAAGTGAGCAAATTCGACTCAAAAAATCTCTTAGCACAACCTTAGTGTATCATAAATATTCATCAAATGTCAGTGTTATGATTACTATCTTTATAAAAGTTAACAATATTTTTTATCCTTTTCTATGTATCAGGCACTGATTTGGAATATTTATTCTAAAGCTGGTTTGCTATGGAAGTCATGAGAGCTTTATTAGAGCAAGCTCTCCAAGAAAGCAGAGAAATACTTTAAAAAAAAACATCAAATATACCTTCAAGATACTGACTTACCTTGGATGAAGTTAAATTCATGTCTCCCCAAATAACAATGCCTGCAGCTCCCAAGGCAGCACTTTCTCCTATGGTGCTGACTAGATCTTGCTAGATTGAAGAGAGTAGAGTTCATTATTAATTTGAATGTAAAACAACTCACCAGGCATGGTGGCTCACGCCTGTAATCCCAGCACTTTGGGAGGCCGAGGCGGGTGGATCACAAGGTCAAGAGTTTGAGACCAGCATGGTCAACATGGTGAAACCCCATCTCTACTAAAAATCAAAAAAAAAAATTAGCCAGGCGTGGTGGTGGGTGCCTGTAATCCCAGCCACTCAGAGGCTGAGGCAGGAGAATCGTTTGAATCCAGGAGGTGGAGGTTGCAGTGAGCCGAGATCACACCATTGCACTCCAGCCTGGATGACAGGGCGAGACTCTGCCTCAAAAACAAAAAACAAAAAACCCACCAGGGATTAGGATTAGAGTCTGAGTTCAGTATAATAGGTCTGGTACTGAGCTCATATACTCCTTAGATACTATTTTCTATTTTCTTAGAGTGACACAAACGCTGAATAAACCAATGCTCAAAAATCACACTCTGTAACCATGTGCAAAAACATAAAAATATTTTTAAAGAAAAACATATTTTGCCATGCAGGATGTTATTTTGAAGACAATGAGTCTGTAAATGGTTATCAGAAATTATTGAATTGAAATAAATCAGGGGCACATACCCACATACCAGGTCATATGTATGTGTTCCGGAAACTGAATCCAGAAGTTTTCCTTCTCCAAATGGGATACTCTTAACCAGGTTCCTTTTCCATTTTGCAGCATGCCCCAGTAACACTTCATCCCCACAGTTATTTGGATGGGTTTATATCATTTCAATTCCAAGGCCAGGCAAAGAAGCAACATTAAGGGCTTGCAGGCTCTGATTTGGTCCAGCTTTTATATTTGTCCCTGAAATTATGTGTGTTTAATTTCTAAGTATCTGGCCTAATGGGCTTTATTTATGACTCATCCAGTCATGGTAAAGTCGCTGGAATTTTCTGCAATATGGTTAAGATAGACAAAGGTAAGGTTTTAGCAGAGAGAATTTTGATTTTATAATCTTAAAGGGTTATTGTTTTAGTGTTTAAAGATTAACATGGATCTAGGCCATTTTCTGGAGGAAATTAAGATTTGAATACATGTAGTTGGTTTCCTAGTTTGTTAAATTATAACACATTCCTCCAATCTTTAAGATACTAATCATTCACCTTTTACTCCAAGGGTGAATTTCTACCAATTAAATGCTAGAAAATGTTATTAGGTGATTTGGTGGAAAACAAAAGAAGAACTGTAAATGCTATTTTGCCATTGGACACTTAATATTAATACTTGAGAGATAAATCTCTTTATCTGACACTTTTATTGTCTAACACTCAAATTAAAGGTTTTACAAGATCATTTTTTAAAGTTTTTGTTTGTTTGTTTGTTTGTTTCTGGGCAATTGTCTTGTGACTTTCAACAAGGAAAGAGATTTTGGGTTAAACTAATTTCCCTTTCAGGTTAACATCCATTTTCATTTCGTACGACTACAATATCTGCTGAACAGGCCATAGCTGACATGACAGGAAGGAGAGGCTCAAATGAGATAATATAAATGAAAGAATTTTGAAAATTGTCAATGGCACGATGAACAGGGACAGAGAAGGGGCCATCCCTGCAGTACCAAGACTGAAGACTCTGCTGAGTCCGTGTCCACTCCCTCTTTGGGCAAAGACATAAGGGAGCAGAACTCCTCACTCCCCTCACTTTGAAACTTCCCTGAAAATAGTGTCATACAGTCACATGGTGTGATCAGGGCAGAAATCCCCATCAGTTCTCCTTTTGATTAAGGCATTGTCATCAAAGGAGAATAAAGACATAACATTTACATTTTATATTTATAGGCTATTGAACTATAATAAGTATGTAAGTGACAGATGTTTCTGGTGAAAGCCACACACACCTTCTGAGGTTGCTGTCAGGTTCTTCCAAATTAGTTTTCAAATCAGTTTCTCACCAAATTAGTTCACTGTCACCTCACAGAGAGCAGGGAGCTGAATGAATCACAAAGCAGCTATGTTTTGGGGATCAAAAAAGCCAGGGCACTACCCAGCGAGGAAAGTCACAGATAAAAGCCTCTGGGTGCAGATTGGGACACCTGAAAGCTTGAGCCATGGGGGTGTTGTCACATTAAGGAGAAAGAAAGGAACAAAGAAGATGTACTGAAAAGGAGCCTCCCAGGACCCAGTGTGGCACAGGGTGCTTTGCGCCTCCACAGGATCCTCCGACCTGAATCATGGTTTCAGAAGCAGAGGGTAGGGCTACTCAGGGGACTCACTCAACACTTCCGTGTCAGTCCCTGACGCTTACCGGAGTGCATGTAAGCAAGGTGCCCACTGTGGGGAGCTGGAGCATTACTAATGAGCTGCCTTCGTGCCTTACCGGAGACAGAATGAATTAATGACAAGGATAAACATCTTTAAATCTATAGGCAAGGAAACTCCTCTTGTTAATTTTTAAAAGCATATCTCACAGATGGAACAGGAGGCCATTATCTTAAATGAAATAACTCAGAAACAGAAAGTAAAATATCACATGTTTTTACTGGTAAGTAGGAGCTAAATGATGAGTAAATATGGACATACAGAGTACAATAATAGACATTGGAGACTCCAAAAGATAAAAGGGTGGAGGAGAGTGAGGGATAAGAAATGACTTGTCGGGTAAAATGTACACTTTTCAGGTGATGGGTACACTAGAAGCCCAGACTTCACTACCACTCAATATATCCATGTAACAAAACTGCACTTGTACCCCCTAAATGTTTACAAATGGAAAACTAAAAATAAATAATCAATGTTTTAAGAGCACAGCATCAGGTTATATCTAGGTTGCATTCATATGTAAACAATATAGGCAATCTTCTGTGTGAAATGAGGCTTGACTGCCTCTGTATTCCCCAAACTATAGCTACTGCCTGAGATTCCACTCTTAAATATCCCATGCTTAAGTTTAAGGCTTTGATGGCTGTTAAAAAAGTAATAGCCATACCAATAGGTTTCTGTAGAACTTCAAGGTTTTCATATGCAAGTTCTCATTTGATTTTCATCATATTTTTGCTAGGTCAGTAGGGCAGGTAATATTGTCTCATTTTGTACATGAAGACACCAAATCCAGGGAGGTTAAGAGATTTACTACTTACTAGTGAATCTTCTTTGTAATCTTAATTGTATGTGTGTGCATTCTAAAATTCAGACATTGTTGGGAAAATCAGAAATGGAAGCCATTAATGGTCATTAAGAGTTTGGTACAAATGAATATCAGGCTTTTTAAAAATTATGGGCAGGATTCTTCTAGGAGTCGCCCTTTTCATTCAACTGTCTCTAAGATTCACACGTATTGAGATATGTTGTTGTAATTCATTCATTTTTGCTACTTTGTTTAATTGAATTAAATATGTAAAAGTTCAAAAAAAGTTAAAAAAATCAAAATAAATAAAAGTTAGATGTTGAGCTTAAAAAAAAAAAATTATAGGCAGGGCCAGGCACAGTGGCTCACGCCTGTAATCCTAGCACTTTGGGAGGCCAAGGCGGGTGGATCTCTTGAGGTCAGGCGTTCGAAACCAGCCTGGCCAACATGGCAAAACCCCGTCTCTACTAAAAACCCAAAAATTAGCTGGGCATAGCGGCGCATACATGTGATCCCAGCTACTCGTAGGCTGAGGCAGGAGAATCACTTGAACCCAGGAGGCAGAGGTTACAGTGAGCCAAGATGATGCCACTGCACCCCAACCTGGACGACAGAGGGAAACTCAACTAAAAATAAATAAATAAATAAAAATAAAAATTATGGGCAGATTATTAAAGTCAATAAGGTACAATGGTGGGCACACTTATAGTTTAAAACACTTGGAAATAGCTTGCCACTTGGAAGAAAAAGAGTGCAGAATGAGATGAAACCCAAACTGTTGCTCCTTTTTTCCTGAGAGGGGAAAGAGCATTTCTGAGGCTACAGCTACTAGAAAAAGAAGCTTATCCCAGGTTCACAGAATGTGCAGAATGTCCCGGTAGTCTAAATTCATCTTTTGAAATGAACATTTTGTCCCGTAGAGTTTATTGTTTCTTCTAAAAGTCAATTTATTATCACTAAAGAAAGGAACTTGGTTGAGTCAAATATAGAATAGATGTTTTATAAAAGAAGCTGGTATTTTAATTTTCATTCAATTCCAGAGTCAACATTATTTTCTGAAGATTTAGATTACTTTCTTTCTTTTTTTTTTTTTTTTTTTTTTTGAAATTGAGTTTCACTCTGTTGCCCAGGCTGGAGTGCAGTGGTGCAATCTTGGCTCACGACAACCTCTGCCTCCCGGATTCAAGCAATTCTGTGTCTCAGACTCCCCAGTAGCTGGGATTACAGGCACCCGCCACCACACCTGGCTAATTTTTCTATTTTTGGTAGAGATGGGGTTTCAATATCTTGGCCAGGTTGGTCTTGAACTCCTGACCTCATGATCCACCTGCCTCAGCCTCCCAAAGTGCTGGGATTACAGGCATGAGCCACTGCACCCAGCCTAGGTAACTTTTTAAAATCTTTCAGACTGTACTGACTTCCTATTCTTCTTCATAAATTATTTATCACTGATTTTTCTAGGTGGTATGAAGAGAAGTTCACAATAGAGACTTTATTTCCTTCCTCCTTCACCTCATGAATGACCTCAGAGGTATGGCACTTACCATATTTCATACATATGCATCATTTCTCCCTCTGATGAATACACTCCATTTATGTTCCAAAGATACCTGGTCACTGTAAAATACCTCACCTGGGTATTTTCTATGCCTCCTCCTTAGGATGCCTAGAAGTCAGTGTCAGGCCTCCGAGCCCCAAGCTAAGCCATGTATCCCCTGTGACCTGCACATATAGGTCCAGATGGCCCAAAGCAAGTGAAGAATCACAAAAGAAGTGAAAATGGGTGGTTCTTGTCTTAACTGATGACATTACACCACAAAAGAAGTGAAAATGGCTGGTCTCTGCCTTAACCGATGACATTACCTTGTGGAATTCCTTCTCCTGGCTC